ATTCCTGCTCTCACTCCAGTAAAGTGAATGGGATTAAATTGAAGATGGATGGGGCCCAATAAAATGCTGGTGCTTAGAGTCCCTTAAATCTTTGCATGTAGTTAAGGGGGAGATTTATCAAAAGTACAGGTGAGGACCCCTGCTTTCCATTGGCAGTAACGGAAAGGAATTGCACTGCATCTTATTTATTTATTTATTTATTTATTTTTTTAATGGAGCAGCCTCCAGTCTTGCTTTCAGCAGTACAAATGAGTAACTCTACTGAAGTGACTTTGAATTGGTGCTGCAGAGATTGGAATGTACCCTGCTGCACTGATAACTGGGAGATCCATTGTGAACTAAGACTGCCAATTGGTAAGTGGACAAGCATGATAGAAAACTAAGGATAATGCATTACAAAATGCATGTTCACTTACCTGATGGGTTACTTTGAATTATTTATGGGACTGCACAGTATGTTGGTGAACATTTCATTACTTTTACACAATTTACTGCGCAGTCTTGGTAATATGAGCCTTCTCACTACTACTCCCTGTTACTAGAGTCTTGCTAAGAAGGAATGGGAGGCTATAGGGAAATTCACCTGTTTGTTCTCATGTGAAAATAGGTGTGGAGAGCCATGAATTGCAAATGTATCAAGGTTTTACTGTGCATTGAAGGATAAACCTTGGGTTAGAAATGAGATCTGCATTTATACTGGGGTGGGGCCAGTCAATGTGTTCATTCACTTCATGAAGGGTTATTTCAATGGCAAGGCCTGGGTGATCTCATTTCTGCTTTGCCTTGGAGTTGGCTAAACCAAATCCTGTGTGTGTTCGATCTTTTTTTTTTGTGTGTGTGTACAGCATTGGCTGAAATGTTGATGGGAGTGTGTATAAACCTGCTGCTGCTAAGAAATGGAACGGGGAGGGAGTGTTCTACTGCATCCAGCAGAATTGAATGTATCAGCTGCACTGGAAGCTTGGGTTTCAATGAAGTGAATGTGGTTTTGGACTCAAAGAGCACCTATACCTGTGACAGACCTCTGCTCCAATGTGTGCTAATTAGCACACGTCAGAGCACACTTGATTAATTGAGTCTGCTGTGAGTCTGGAGCATGTTAATTAGTGCACTCCAGCAGCCTCAGTGTCACGTATTCATCATCCCTACGTTTCAGAATGGCAGTGGGAACACTAACTAAACCTCATTTGATGAGCTTAATTTAAGTGCCCCTTCCGCCATTTTAAAGCACAGGACATTGAATACACATGATGCTGTGGGCATTTTTAATTAGATTGGCTCTCGGAGCCACTCTAAAGTGCCCCCCCCACCCCCCCACATGTATAGATGCTGTAATGTGCATGTCTTCTTCTTTGCATTGTATTGGAGGAAGATCATTCAAATTTGTACTGAGCAAATGGATCAGTTAATAGTAGAAAGGTACAAGTTTCAGGTTACCTAGAGAATCCAAGCATAAAAGGAAGAGTTGTCAACTGACACAGTTGTACAGTAATCATGAGCTCTGGCAGGAACTAGCTGACTCTCTTGGTCCCCATGATCCTTCTGATTTAAGAGGTAAAAATGAGTGATTCAGCAGGCATGACACAAGTTCACGCTGCGGCTGCCTTCAGGTACCTGCCTTGTGGATAAATAGAAGCATCCTGTGTTCCCACTTTTTTTGTTCCTCTGTCTTTCCAAGTGCAAGCAAATTTACCCCTTAAACTGTTAAGTAGATAGAAAGAATTCGGAGAGTGTGACTCTCTGGTCAGGTGACAAATGGGGAAATGATTCTCTTATATAAACTCCTTTCAAGGCATGACAGAACTAGGCCCTGAAACTTTATTGCAATAGGAAGATGCTGTGCAAGTCTGCTTTGAAATCAGATTCTGCTTCTTACTAGGCATGTCTAAATGTGCATTAGTGTGCTTTTTCTAATTCACACTTAAATTTAGTACCTCCAATGTGAGGCACTGAAGAAGTGTGGATTCGGCTGCCTTAATGCACATGGTCTTTAAATTATGCTTAATGTGCAATAGCTTATTTTACTGCACATTGTCATAGTAGCATGTTGTTTTTTATGTGGTGCTTTAATGTGCAGTAAAATAGGTTACTGTGCATTCAAGTGCATGTGTAGCTGCACCCACCTAGTAGGTCTTTTTTATGCAAGTGCAAACCTGTGACACAGGATGTGCGGCTTCCATTCTTCTTTCAAATAGGGGATTATCTTTCTTATTTAAGAAAAAAAAGAAAAGAGACTTGCTCGTGTGAGGTGTTTATGCTCCCGTGGATTTATAAAGCACTCTCACTTACAATGCTCTTGCTGAATTGATGAAGTACTCTTGTAGTGGACTAGTAGGGGGTGCTCCTGCACTGAGCCACCCACTTCACTGAGCCTGGTCAAAAACCAAGCTTTGAGTGCCTCCTCTGGGGCGCCTCACGTCTGGCTGACCCCCTTCCTGGAGCACACCTGCAAGCCTGGGGTAGCGCTGCCACCACCTGGACTTGGGTCTTGGTCTGGGCCCTGTGCCACCCAGGATGCACAGACTCTGAAGACCTACAAGTTGCTTAATAGGGCTATGCGAAATGGCACCGTTCTGTTTCGACTTGAGTTTGAGGTTTTGACGGAACAGCATTTCGTTTCGAATTTCATTTTGATTCAAAACCGCTGTTCCATTTAGCTTAATTGAAACAGTGACACTGTTTTGATGTTTTGCCCACTTGCTATAATGGGGAAGCTCGAAACAGCCTCTCTCATCTGGCAGGCAGATGGGGGACCATAACCCCAGGGGGGCTGCAGGGGCTGCGCCAGTCCTCCCAAAGCTGCGGGCCCCCTATCTGCCTACCACATGAGGGAAGGAAGCCAGGTGCTGCCACCTGGGAGCTGGGGAAGAGATCTGAGCCCAATTGCTCAGTTCCCTTCCCCAGCACTACAATCAGGCTGGGGAAAGGAACTCAGCTGGGCTGAGTTCCCCTCCCCAGCCCGATTTTTTTGGTAGCAGTGGGGAGGTGAACTGAGCCTGGGCTCAGTTCCCTTCCCCTGCACCATGATCAGCTTCCCACAGCCCAGCTGTGGGAGGCGGGGAGAGCTAGGGTTGTGCTCTGGCTGAGCAAC